TCTAGACAGAGTATGTAGTAACAAATTGACCCTCTAGGGGGCAGTGGTTCTCAAACTTTTTTCAGTGATGTACCCCCTTAAAAATATATTTTTAGTCAAGTACCCCCTGACACAGGCAAAACATTTTTGGAAGAAAAAAGAGGTACAGTGCTGTAAAATCACTGTCTTATTAATTAAAGCCAAACCACTGATCCATACTCCAACCATTGCATGTAGAAAAAAAAAGAAAAACAGAAGACGGTGACCACCAGGAAGAATACGCTTTAGCCACGTCTCCATAGTTACAGCGCAACCATGGTAACGACAGGTCGTTGACAAGTGCGCTGGGTCTGTGGGTCAAACTAACTTGGTGGGGGGTCCGTTTTATTTTAAAGGATATTGAAACTAAATACTGAATATAAAATGCATGAACACACATTTATATTCTATCGAACTTTTTTTTTACAGAATAATTTCTCCCAAGACTTATTATGAGGAGCCTACTGATTTTTAAAATATATTTTGAAAAGCTTCACGTACCCCCTGAAGTACCTTCACGTACCCCCAGGGGTACGCGTACCCCCATTTGAGAATCACTGCTCTAGGGGGCAGTGCCACTTTTGATGGGAGATGAGCATAGACTGTAGGCAAATAAGAAAAAGCTAACGGTTCTATGAGAGAACATGTCGCCGGTGAGACGCAAGTCCAGGAAGAACGGAATAAGGTAGAAACACATTTTTTTCCTGATGAAAGAAGAGAGTCTACTCTTTCTTTTGGTGTGTTCGGAGTTTACATAGTCATAGCACAAACTATTCTGTGGCTCTTGAAAAATCAGTCAAAATGCTCAAAAAACTCTGGCAGTATGGGACTCTGTTCTGAAAATGGCTGCCGGTCAATGAGTTAATAACACGGTTTGGGCTGGTTTGTAGCTTGGCTCAAAAAAGGTAAAAAAACAAAGACAAACCTCTGAAGAACACGGGGAGTTGGAAGACCTCTCTCTGGGGCATTCTGAGAGGAAAAGCAAAGGGTCAGAACCAGAAAAAGCTAATTTCCGAGTCAGTTTTTTGGACATATGAGGAGGGCATTTGCTTTGGCCTGTATGGCTAATGTCTCCTATACTAACTCCTCCTCCAGACCTCTGGACCCTAATAAAGTCAAGTAAATATTGCACATTTTATGGTAAAAACTGTAAATAATGCACAT